ATCAAAATATTTTTGTATCTATTTATCTTTTAAAGAATTCTTCATACAAAAAAAAAAACTCAAATATATAACTCTTATCATAAACTAATTTGGCTTTCTTTGTATGAAAAAAAAACTTATTTTAAGCTTTTAAAATTAAAGAAATATATATTAATAGGTTTAACTTAAAATATATTCACAAGCTTATTTCTCTATAATATGATATGACATATATAGTTATATTTTATAAAATAAGCTATGTATAAATATAAGATATAATAAAAAAAATTCATCATTATACTTTTTAGATTTCATTCTTTTATTATAAGTAATTAAATATTTATATTAAATATTTTATATATATTAGATAAACTTGAAAAAAAATTAATTCATTAATAAATTATTTTCTAATTTATTTTTTATAATATAACTAAATATTGAAAAGTATTTTTCAGTTTATTTTCTATAACGCTGTTAAACATTAGAAAATATTTTTTAAAAATTTATTTTTTATTTTTAAAAAAAAAATATCTTTTTAAAAAAAATAACTTTTCTACCAAATAGAGACATCGTATTCTTCCCGCAGTAAAACTCCTTAAAGTGGTTTTGCTTTTTCCAAAGTGTTGAATCACAATTTAAACAGTTCTTCCACACATTAATGTCTCTCTCCCATCTCTCCCTCGAAATCTGATCAACAGAACTCAATATCAATTTCGAGAGGTAAAAAATCTTTCCCTAACCCCTTAAAAATTCTAACTTAGATGTTACTTTTTGCTTATTAAGACTAACTAAGATTCAAATATTTTTCTTCATAACCCTTTTAGCAAGTGTGATTTCAAGCTGTTTTTACTGCTGGGGTTTCTCTTCTCTTTTTTTTATCAATTATTTTGTGATATAGTAAAAGGAATCAACTTTTCCATCATTGTAATGTAAGTATTGTTATTAACTACGCACCTTAATGTGTAATCTGTTGTGTTTCTGAGACCTTGATCTTGCTATTTTGGTAAGGACCGTGAAATCTTTGATCGTTTAGACACAAATTCAGAAGCCCTTTATTTTTTTTTCAGAGAAAGATGTCATTTTTGAAGCAAATTTTGGGTGATATGAAGAATGAAGTTTCAGGATTAATGATGTATAGCTGCTGTCCTTCTTTTACAGGTTTGAAGTTATATTTACAGTCATTGGGTTTAGCACATTAGTGTGAAGACAAGTTTGAATGTCACAAGGGACTGAAATTGGCTCACTTTGATTTGACAAAAATGACAGAAATTTTTGGATATACGGCTTGCAGACAGTTATCCCAGATGTTTTTGGCTGTGCTCTTCTTTCATAGTTCAGAATATGTTTTAGTTGCTGCTATTCATGGGAGATCAAGTGTTAATCTTAGTTCACTCTTGATCAGCAAAGCTTATGTGTTTGCAATGATGTTTGCGTTGCTTGAGTATGTTGTTGAGATTGCTTTATTTCCTGGGTTGAAGGAATATTGGTGGATAAGCAATTTAGGTCTTGTAATGGTTATAATTGGGGAGATTACTCGGAAGCTGGCGATTGTAACAGCTGGACAAGCGTTCACACATCTGATTAAGGTTCATCATGAGGAGCAACATAATTTGATAACTCATGGAGTGTATAGGTTTGTTCGTCATCCATCATACACTGGTTTCTTAATCTGGTCAGTTGGAACTCAGATAATGTTATGTAATCCTATATCGATAATTGGGTTTGCTATTGTTGTCTGGCGCTTCTTTTCTCAACGGATACCATATGAAGAGTTTTTCTTGAGGCAGTTTTTTGGGTCGGAGTATGTGGAATATGCTTCAAAAACTCCTTCTGGAGTTCCATTTGTAAAGTGAAGATGTTATGGAGTCTACACACAGAGTTGAACTCATTTGTTACCCTCATCTTGTTTCATGGAGAAAGATTCAGAAGAGTTCCAGTGATGCTTTATTGAAGAAATTTGGAATTTAGTTGAAGCTGAAACTGATCAAACCCAGTGAGCTTACATTTGCCAATACTACATTTGGCAGTAAAGATGACGCTGATTTCTTGAAGTGGAACCATTTAAATTTGCTAAATTCGTTGGAGTGGAATGGTTTTTCTTCGTTGAACATCTTTTTGATCCTCACCAAGACTGTAAGTCTGTAATTTTGCATATGCCTTATTTAATGATGTATTTTTATTCATGTGCACATTTGAAAATCTCCATTTACTGTATTTTATGTTATGGGATTCGATTACAATGTTAAAGAAGCAACCTATACATGGTATGCTAGTTGGAAATGGAATAATTAATCTTATCTATTAAATGATCCACAACCTTGCGTGATCTCTCCCTCGTTCCCAACTTGATCATGGCTGTGATGACGTGACTGTAAAACACATCCCGATCTTTGTCCATTAAATTCACATAAACCTGAGTTCTTGGGTCCAAAGCCTTTCTGAAGATTCTGGTAATAGGCATTGTCTAAGGTCAATGCTGTTGGATCATTTTGTGCATAGATTTTTAACACGGTTTTGGTCCATGGTTGTGTCCGTGTCAAATTACTTGTAGCGATTGGATTCTGTACATGAACTCCTTGCATTGAGAGGCACTGATGGAGTGAGCTCCTGATAAGTCACCATGTCGAAGCTAGATAATCCTTTGGATTTGAAGGGTTAGATTACTTCAGAGAGTGTGGCATTTGCCTGAAGAATGTTTGTGGCCCCTCTTGAAGCCTCAGAGACAAGGTCTCCTTCCCATTTGCACTTTAAACCTTGGGCCTCCTAGTTGATGGTGTATGCATTTCAAGTGAGGATTGTAGACTAACAGAGAATGAAAGAATCTGTGGAGGTGGTAATTGTCTTAGCTCTTTATCATTGAACCTGTATCTCTTGGGACAATTGCCACGACATCTGCGCAAGAAACCACTCTTGGACAAGGTGATTCAACAGCTGTCGTGGCTCTAAAGAAGAGATCAAAACCATTTCCAGACAATGACAGATTTATTTCTGCATCCCTTTCTAGTTTTACAATGTTGCTTGATGCTATGAGCATTGATGCATCACAACCCTCTATGAAAAACCCGAACATATTGTGGTAGTCGCAGTCTTGAAATTTATGGAAGATTGAACTAAAAAGTTGGAAAGAAGCTGAATAGACTAAATTCCATGAATATAAGAGCAGGAAATTAAAGGGGTCTGACAAAGCAGTCAAGGTATAAGAGCAGGAAATTAAAGGGGTCTGACCTCAACAAAGCAGTCAAGAGAGAAGATTCGTAGAGCGCCAGCAGCAGACACAGGATTTTTGAAAACTTGTCAGCAACAGATGTTACTCTTCAACGCAGGATTTTTGAAAACTTGTCAGCAACAGCATTGAAGATCACCTGCTCAACATTTGGGCAGGTTTCAGTGTAAAAGCAATATCTTAGACCATGAACTGAATCGAAAAATAGGAGATTTAAGGCCAGAAGAACACGAAACTAGGCCTTGGCCATGGAGACTTGAAGTGTTAGAAGATAATGTTACTCTTCAAATCAGATGTTTATATAATAGCAGAAAGTTGGACAGTGATGAACTGGTTTACTAGTAAGAACTCAAAAGTTGCCTCTATTTTCCCGATTACCAACCATCAAAAGGTGGTTCATGTGATAAACCAATTCTATTACTCGTGTTATAATGTTAGATTCGAATATAACGAGAGATTTTGATAAAGAAAGTCTTGATAAATATAACAGTCTATAGCAATATGTAATTTGTATAAAAGTAAAATGCCACATTAGATTGGAAAAAAAGCAATACAAACGCCCACCGTGGGGCTCGAACCCACTAACACAAAGTTAAGAGCCTTGCGCTCTACCAACTGAGCTAGACGGGCTTATTGAGGCCTGACCGCTTATTTCTTTAACAACCTATTTAACATTACCGCCATTCCGCCACCCCTCCAAATAAAAAGATGGAGGCTGGCCAAATGAACGCCGAATATGACGAGTTTGTGCCGTCAATTTATCTTGGTTAGATGGAGAGACGGTTTGTTTTTGTTTTTTTTTAAAAAAATAAAAATATTTTATTTTATATTTGCTTAATATTAATTTTTTAAAATTTTTATATTATTTTGATATACTGATCTTAAAAAAATAAAAAATATTATTTAAATATATTTTAAAAAACAATTATTATTATATTCTCAATCACTTAATATATTATTAAATCTATTCGCAGACAACACATGAAAGACTCAAGTAATTTGTTTGTAACACATTTGTCTTGTAAAAGATGCATGGTTAAAGCATTCAAACAAAGTTTGTCCGATGAAGCATTGTCTAATGTAATGGGAATTGGAATTTGCATTAAACAACTCTCAAGATACAAAAAGGATATCACAAAATAAAGAACAGCAGAGCGTCTTTTAATTAATTATTGAAGGAGTCACAACGTCTTCTAATCTCACCATCACTCCCCGTCTTGACTCCAACTTGGCCTAGCTTTATCATGGACTCAACAAAGTAATTGAAAAAAAGTTTTTGATTAGCAGTCATCATTTCCACATAACCTCGAGTTAAGGGGTCCAAAACCAACATCTGGTCACTTGCTAGCAACCCAAGACCCTTTTTAAGGTTGTGGTAATAAGCATTGTCAAAAATAAATGGTGTAGTTACATCATTAAGGGCAACCACAGTTGGATCAAGACGCTTCTTAGGACAAGGAATCCGAAGGGTTCGTGCATATTCCTGGTTCATTGTCGGGTCTATGTCAAATGTGCTGTTGTAGCCATAGATTCTCGGCATGAATTCCTTGCAATGTGAGAAACCTATGGTGTGTCCGCCTGTTAAAGCCACCATGTCCATGGTGGATAGACCTTTGGATTTGAAAAGTGAGATTAGTTGAGGGATTGTTTGGTTCACCTGAGGAAGGTTGCCGTCCACCCTTGAGGCCTTGGAGATTAGCCCATCTCTTCTCCCCTTCTTCACTTCCCACCATGGCCCTCCCACCTGAAAAGAACATGCATTGTAAGTTGTAAACTATTACTCTTCTTTCAGATTTCAATACTTGTGATCTAACAAGTGTTGAATTAAAAATGTTTCAAAGCAAGTTTGACACAAGACCAAGTTAACTAGGTCTCTAGTGGCAATGGCCATAACATCAGCACAAGAGACAAAGCCAGTGCATTGCAACTCTAGAGCTCTCTTGGCTCGGAAGAAGACATCATAACTATCTCCTGGCTAAGAAAGATTTATTTCTGCATCCCTCTCTGCCTTGTTGCTCTCCCTTGATGCTATTAAGACTGACGCATCACATCCCTTCAAAAGATGGAGAAAAGGAGAGAACTTTCAGTGAAATGGCCGTGATGGTGTTTATGTTCATTGTAATTGCAGTCATCGTACCTCAACAAAGCAGTCATGGAAGAAGATGCGAAGAGCACCAGCAGCGGTGACAGGAGCTTCCAAAAGCTTTTGAGAAACCACATTGTGGATGATTTTCTCTACATTGGGACAAGTCTTATTGTAGAAATCGTGGCTAAGACCTAGTGCATTTGGTCCTCTAGCCACACAAGGAACCAAAACCAAAAAGAAAATTTGGGTAAGACAAAATTGAACTCTATCCATGAAGTAGTGAGGAATACTGTGACGGAAATCAATTATGCTTCTCAATTATTTGTGGCTGTTTTTGGCAGTAGATGCCACAGTAAAATCCAGACAGAGAAGGCTAGTTGACACAACAAGAAAAGCCAAGATACCCCATTTTTGGAGAACCAGTGACAGAAGAGCTTGTTTGCTTCTCTTTCTATTAACTAATATATGATTTCCAAGTCCATGTCATGTACTTTCTAAGTGATGCTGCTGACAGCCAATTCTAAACTACAATTTAATCACTGTAATAAAGAGAGATCAGCGAGTTCTTGGCTTTACTTTCTATGGTTTCTACTACCATCAGCTTCAATTTCTTCGTTTTAACCAGTCAAGGAATACGTGTACAAAACTTCTGAGTCCTGCATTGTCCATCTAATATTCAGGCATTTCTTAGGGGGAATCTTAGCATGATGCTAGCTACCATTCACTTAATTTATCGCAAGATTGCAAGTAAGAATAGTGAGAAATAGAATACCAATGTTTGTCATAAATAGATTGTTGATAACATATGGTTCTGTCCTGTCTAAAAGGGGTGAAAGGCTTCATAATAAGGTCGGTTTGCTTTGTCTTCACGTGAAGGTTTCTTTGGGATGTGGACAAGGCTTGATCACATGTGAACTAGCAATGCGACACTTTCTGGATTTTGCACGCACCTATTGATGATGTAGCTGGCGTTTCCAGATGCAGATGATCACGGGAAAATATCAGAAAAATTTCAGAAACTGATAGCTTCTTATGTATAAAAACATGCCTTGCTTTGCCCACATGCCTCAGGTTGTGGTCATTAGCAGGCGCCCAGTACCTCTTTATTGTTCAAGTTAAGCCCTCCAAGATGTGCAAGAAAATTTCAATATGTCGAGCAGAAAATTAATAAGATATCTATCTTATATCATGATTGATTAAATATTAAAGTAATTGTCTGAAAATGTTTGCGCTCCCAGGAATAAAAAGTCTTGCTAATCCATGCTAAACTTTAAATTAGCTAGTGTGTGTAAATGGAAAACACCAGATTTTTTATTACCATTTTTTGGCTGGACTAAAATTCGTTTATATCCTAACTTTTCTCCTCCATTCATCATAGAATATTTGTCACTTAGCTTAAAATCTACATGACATATGATATACGGGTGAACATAAGAATATTTCTCTATATGCTAGCAATGCTTTAGTCATGGAATCCTTATTCATTAGCTCAATGCTAATATTCTTAATGAGCATTTCATGTTCCTTCACTTTATTTTTCATAATAAATTACTTCATATCAATACATTTATTTCAGCTTCCACTTATCTTATTCTAAAAAAAAAACTTCAATCAAATTATCACAATATATTTTTAGTGGTTTTGATATGGAATCAACAACTTTAAGACTAGAAATATAATTTCTTAACCAAATTATTTGTATGGTTGATTCATAGTATGCAATGAATTCTGCTTGCATAGTAGATAAAAAAAACAGTAGTTTGCTTGGTATTTCTCCAAAATACAGCTTTTCCAACAAGAAGAAAAATGTTTTATAAAGTAGAACTTTATTGTGTTTGCACAATCAGCAAAATACAAGTTTGAAAGAAAAATGTTTTATAAAGTAGAACTTTCTTGTGTTTGCACAATCAGCAAAAACTAATTACATTAAGATCATCAGTATGTTAATAAGTCATTTTGTAATTCTTGATTCACATAATAATTTTTTTAACAGCTTTTCATTGTCTACTCCTAAATTAATTTGAAATCTTCTTTTAACATTCATACCATAAATATCAAGTCAAGTCTTGTATAGGCTTCGTGGATGTATCAAACTACCAATTATATATATATAAAAAAGTATTACTCACTTGCTTATTTTTCAATATATTTTATGAGTATTAATTCTGATTGAATTTGTTTTTTTTAATAAAAGAACAGAACCAAGTCATGTAAAGGTACTTTATACATAACCTAACTTTTGCACTTCCTTCTATTATAGATGTACTTAGCCATCTACTACTCTAAGTCTTAATTATCACTTAATTTAAAATCTATAAAACATATACACCACCTTAATGATATTTTTATAACAAGAAAAAACTATTTCAAAACCAAGTCCTTGTTTTATAAAACAAAAGAATAGTGATGCAATATCATCTGCATGTGACATTTGTTTTGATTCATGACATTGGCTGAAAAGGGTCATTAGTTCTTTCCACAAAAAAGTTTTATTGATCATCTGCCCATAAAAACTATATTAAATCTATCAATTCTAGAATACAAATCTTGAAATAATGGAGTCATATCCATGTTCTTGAATACAGGCCAATAATTCTCCAGCCAAAAAAGTAGAAAGAAGGAAAAGTTATAACATTATTGATAAAAGCAGCGCCTAATTGGATTTCATCTGTTTCTGCTTGGAGCTTTGTTTCCATGCTACTTCCACCCTGCTAATCTCCACAAATATCAGACAATACCCATGTTATAATTACATCAAACTATCCAAGCCCACATGGATAAGAGCGAGCAGGGACATGATAGATTTTTTGTTTGTCCAATTTCATGCCACCCATTCCTAAGCTCCCCTTGTATGACATGAAATCATACTATTAATCCTTCAGAGCGTAAGTGCTGTGTATACAACTATACATGTTCCACCGGTTAGCCGTCTTGCCTCCCCAGCTTCTTCCACCAGCTGTTCCGATCAAAAGGGGCGAAGGTAGCCTGAATTGAAAGGAAATAACTTGGAGAAATTAAGCTCTTTTCCATTCAAGTTTATCTGCAATCTCCTTTAGCGGGATAGTTATTCAGATTTTCAAAGCTCATATCAGAGTTGCAATATTAGCTTTTTTTTAGAGAAATAGTAAGTTAGCAACATCAGAGGTGAAAGAAGCAATGTGCCAGTGGGCCAACTGGTGTAAGAAACCTTTAATCAGAACGTAACGTTTTAAGGTCAGAGACAGTGGACCTGAGATTTAGCTTTCCCCAGTCTCCACAATAGCTATAAGATAGAAAGCCCATGACCCATTATTGTTCCTTGTGGCTTCCTTGCTGGAAAGCTTTTGGAAACAAAAGAGACTGCTCAATTTTATTTTATTTTATTTTGCTTGCTAGTCTTTATCGAATGCTAAAAGGGCACTTCCTCTGATCCTCTCTATCGAGTTAAGACCTTTTAATAATTGAAGTTGGTTTGGTCTACCTTACTCATCTTCTTTTTTAATATCCACTTTACTGCTATGGGAGCTACAAACACATGGGGCATGATGGCTGCACCAGCCTTTTCGATTCTTTCTCCTTCTTCTTTAATTATTAATTATTAATTATTAATGTAGATATTCGGATTAATTTATGTATATTTTAATTAATTTTACAAAATTTAAAATTAATTCTCATATAAATTTCTAGTATTTTTAGGGACCAGAAACCTCATGGAGGCATTCATCCTCTTCGGTTCTTGGTATTGCTCTTCCTAGCTCTTGCATTGCTCTTGGGTACAAGTTTGCCTGTGATGTGATGGTGGCCCGATTAGTCTTCAAAACTGGATAGTGGAATTGTTAACATCGAGCTATGATGCTTCAATTACAACCCAGATAGCAGCAGTCAAACTCAATCCTTTTTGTCATCATAATCATTTGGAAATGGTCTGATTGATATTTAATGTCTCACTATACATGTGGAACAAGTTGTTATTGATGCTAGAAAAATCCCATCTTTTGATGCTAATTATCTAGATATGGACACCACTAATGTCGATATGTATTCCTTAAATTACTAGTTCTCAACAGCAGCTTGGATGTCATTAATGATTGATTAAGCAAACAATTTGAACTTCTGAATGTTTTCTGGAGATTATGCTCATAAAAACATGCCTCAATAATGATGTTGATTGCCCCCACTGTTCATCCTCATGCTATGAATGATTTGTCTCATTACTTCCAAATCTCAATGCTAAAGAAATGATAATCTATTTCTGGATTGACTAAAAACTTGGCTTAGGACGGCCATGTCAACAAGTACAGAATCACAATGAGGTTGCTCATAAATCGGTGGTCTGTCACACTTTTGAGACCCTTTTCGTTGCTTAAATTAATCATACAAATAAAACCTATTCAATCATTCCAAGTGCGGCAAACTCTTCTAATTTTTTTTTCTTTAATTCAGTTTTAAAAATTCCCAAAACTCTTGACCACGCTATTGAATGTAAATAAAAGCAGTAATTATAATGACTCTGAAGACATAAATTTACTTTCTAAATATTATTAATTTGAATTACAGTTATTAAAAATTTATATAATTATTAATTTTAAGATATATTAAATCAATCGAGATGTACACAAGCTAGCTTGATATCTATATTAATAAAAAAATAATTCAATCATCTAGAATGATATTAATATAACATATAAGGGTGAAATTGCATTAAAATAAAGTTTGATAATCAAAATAAAATGTAAAAAACAATATTGCTCTTTGAACAGTGTCATCCACTTGAATATTGGCCTTCTGTCCCTTCAGTTCTTCCTCGAGCTGAATGATCACTGACCGAGGTTCCTTCTTTTCATATTAGGTCCCTTTCTAGGCTACCTACACCAAATGATAGAAAACCCTAGATTAGTGTTCTCCCATGGAGGGTCCCCTGCGTTTGAACGTAGAAGCTCGGAGTTTGCTAATGGACAAAGGAAGAAGACAGTTCCTCTACGAATGATTCACCAAAAAAGAAAAAAAATGGTTCCTTTTCGTTCTACAAGTTTTGGTCAGTTTCATGCATATACGTACGTGGCCATTACTATAAGAACTTTCTTCTTCCATTGTCTTGTAGCAAACTCCTCGCAGTGGCCATAAATCCCATTGTATTTTATATTTTAGGGATTTTAAATATTTAATTGTATTCTATTTATCATTTTAAAGTTATTCATGACTTTAATACATCCAAAAAAACCTCAGCACGCACGTGCAAATGCGCACTTGCACGTGCAAACCCTTCAAAATTGTTACGAATGAGGCTTTCGTGTCTTCAATATGTGCAAATCTTTTGTTTTTCAAATTTCAAACACCTACAGGAGAAAATTAATAAATATAAATAAAGTATTAATAAAAAAATTTATCAATAAATTACAATGAATTTTATTAACAAAATAGTCTCTCATTATATGAAATTACATTGGAAAAAAAATAAGAAATTAAGAAAAAAATCAAAAAAAATAATGATATTTTATTTATATAAACAAAATTACTGATGAATTTAACTCGTCAATAAATTATATAAACAAAATTACTGATGAATTTAACTCGTTAATAAATTATATTTATAATACTATTAATAATACTATTAATAATATTTCATTTATGATATAGTCAATAACTGCTATATCCTCCTTCACCATTTTTTTCTTTTTCTTACTCTAATCTTTACAACAAGCGCTCCTATAATTTTATTATAAAACAATGATAGTAAATCAAGTTAATGAATTTAGTGTCTAACCACCAACAGAATATTCTTTCATTAAATTAAAAAATAATAGTGATGAATATTTCAATAAAGTATTTTTGTTAATTATATTCTTAATTTATTTATTTGTACTTCATTTCATTTATAGTGATGGGTTGGTTTTAATTTATAAGATAAGAGTTGCTCTTATGATTTTTTTTTAGAAGCATATTATTTTAAATTTTTAACTCAATTTTTATCGTGTATGCATAGTATGCAATTGGAAAATTTAATTGTTTATGATGAATCTCATTTAAATACATTTAAATAAATAAGAATTTTATGTTTAAGTTTTCCCCCCCCCCCCCACATTGTGTTTTGGTGGCAATATTGCTAGTTTGACTAAAAAATCAATTATATCTGTCTCTCTCTCTCTATATATAATGACGCTTATAAGGGGACGAGAAATAGAGTCCATTCAAGTTGAATAAAAGCTTTGGACAAAACTATATTTTAGACAATCTAAAATATTTTAAAAATATTTTTTTTATTATTTTTTATGTATATATGACAAGTAGGGCTTTGGAAAAAATTTCATTTTGTATTTGGAGATTTTTTTTTAAGTGTAGATAATTTTCATATTAATAAATATGTCTTACTTATTTGTATAGCTTTTTATTAAATAGAGGTTTTGTGTCATTGTTCAAATGGCTATTAACTTAAGCCTTATGATTTAAAAAAGGAGAGTAAAAAAAAGGAGAAAATTTTAACAGAAAACATATATTTTTTATTTTATTACTGGTTTTTGTTTTAAATTCAATAAGCTTTTTATACATTTTAAGTGTAGATGCACTAACCTTTAGAGAATTTAAATAAATGAAATTCTTGCAAATAAGAAATAAATTTTATTTTGATGTTTTCAGATTATTTTAATATATTAATTTTTTTAAAATAAAAAAATATTATTTTAATATATCTTAAATAAAAAATATTTTAAAAATAATTACTACAATACTCTTAAACATGCCCCTAAAAAAAAGCATTATAACATGATAATAAAACCAACAATGTGCATTTTTTTTCATTTTTAAAAAACAAAAAACTGTAAAAGAAAAAACAAAGGGTTGAGATGTGCCTATTGGTGACAGATTTTAAAGTTGATATGGAAGTATAGGTATAGTTCTGTTTTAAAAAAAAATTATTTAAAAATATATTAAAATTATTTTTTATTTTTTAAAAAATCAATTTTAATATCAATATATTAAAATAATTTAAAATAAATAAAAAATTAAAATTTTTCAAAATATTTTTAAAATACATGCTAAAAAAATCAATCAAAAGAATCCAGTATCAGTGCATACGACCTGACGAAGTCAACATTTGCCGGCTGTTTTTGAAAAAAAGGAGTCCACGTGTCATAAGCTCCTTCTCTCAATTTCACATTTTGCCGCCTCTAACCGTTCGATTTCAATCCAACGGCAGCGTTTTTGACTCCCTCCAATTTTGCTGACTTGTGTACTCTTTTTTTCCTCCATGTCAAATGACATAACCACCCTTATATCCTCTTTTGTGTCATCATCCTATTTTATTTTTATTTTTATTTTTTTTACGGGGCCATCTACTGTGCTCTTATTCTTTTCTTGTGTAGCTATCATCTCTGCGTGTTAGTTTTATGATTCCAGAAATTGTGGGTAATTATGGACAAAATGATTCCCTCTAGCGATGTGATCATAGAAGATGCTAAATCTAATCGATATTCCAAGGTAAACAGCATTTAATGGAAATTTATTTATTGGATTTGCGATATAAAAAAATTAAAGATAATGAATAAACATATTTCATATGGTTTCCGTATTTCTATCCGGTATACTTGGGGTTTATTTGGCTATTATGATTAAATAATTATTTTATTTTAAATTATTTTTTAATGATTTTTAATTATTATAACATGATAGATTATTTATGAATTAAAAAATAACATTGATGGAATATAGAAAAAATATTGAGGTTAATTCAATAGAATTAATCTGATAAAAATTAAGAAAATAAAAGTTAAAAAAAACTTAAACTGAAAAAATAAATAAATAAAGTTAAAAAAGAAGATAAAAAATAATTCAATATCAATTTAGAAAAGAAGAAAAAACAAGACAAACTTTTTAAATCTAGTCTAATCTTTAAAAGCTGTATCTTACGAAATTTTTTATCCGAATCTAATCAAGAAGCATATTTCTTAACGAATTTAATTTCAAAAGATAAAATCGGTAGAAAAATATTAATAAAAAACCTTGTAAAAGCAATAACAAAAAATGAAAATAAAATTTGATAGAAAAAACCCAATGAGGATGTAATTTGATGAAAAAATAAAAAATAATCCCAAATAAAAAAATCAATTAAAAGAATAAGGATTAAATTTGAAAGAGTAAAAAAATCATAAGAGGAGAAATTAAATACATTTGTAAAAAAAAAAAACCCGAATAAACATCCTAAATTAAATACATTTGTAAAAAAAAAAAAAAACCCGAATAAACATCTCATACATGATTAAATATTAAAAAGTTCACAATCTAAGGAAAAAAAGGAAAAGAAAAGCAATTTCAGGCTAAATCACATTGAACAACCATACACACACCACCCTAGAAAAAAAGAGAATATCAAGACGAATCAAATAATACAGCATGATCATAGTCATAACAACCAGAGCCAGCCACATGTGTTGTAAAAAGGAAGTGCAGCGGCTAACGTGTTAAAGTGTGTGAGGCACGCACCATTAAATTTTTTTTATATATATATATTTATAAAACCAAAACATCTCCTTAAAATTAAATAATAACAACAAACAAACTATGATAGAATTACAACCAAATTCCTAAAGTCAAAACTAAAATATTCAAATGGTAAGAGTGACATAGTAATTATATTGTTCAATCAAATATATAAAAAATACAATAACACCCTTGTGTAGATGAAATTTGATTATTTTATTAAATGGTTATATTAGTAATTTTACTGTATATTAAAAAACATAATTACCAAAAACACCCTACATAAATCCTTAAAAAACATTTATATTATAATGAAAATATCACCCTACCCCAAAGCAAAAGCAACAAATAAAATAATCAAATGGTAAAATAATAATCATTTTATTGTAATAAATAGTAATTCATGCCTTAATGCACAATAACATTGCTAGGTTGATTAGTTTTTTTCTTATAATAAAATAAAATATTTTTTTTATTTTTGTTTTAGTTGATGATCATCTAGTTTTTGTTCAATGTGCTTGAGTGGTCAAATTAGAGCTCGTTTGACTTTGAACAGCAGTTGTTTTTCAAAGTGTTTTAAATTTAAAAATATATTAAAATAATATTTTTTAATTTTTAAAAATTTATTTTTGATATTAACATATTAAAATGATTGAAAAATACAAAAAAAATAATTTAAAGTAAATAAAAAATAAAAACTGAGGTGCTCGCAACACACCCTTGAGATTTTGATGACTTTGAAACATAAAAATAAAAGATAAATAGAAACATAAACACCTTAAATAATTAAACACATAGAACCACGGTGCTTAAAAATAAAAAAAATGATAGCAATTTCTACGAGAAATTTACAAAAAAATAATTTATAGCATTCCCAAACTTGCATCCAATTTAACAAGACCTCTACTCGAATTAATAGCTCGATCAAGTGCATATACCCATGAAACAAATGTGGTTGGTAGGGGCAATGACCAATTTCTTTATATGCCCTATATCATTTCAATGTATTCTATTTTTTAAGAAAAAAAGAAAATAATCCTTTTCACTACTCTTTTATGTAATCTTTCTGTGAGCATTAATTTATTTTTCACATCTTTCGTGCAATATTTTCGAGTAAAAACTACGAGAAAGATATATTAATCAAATTTGAAACCCTTGATTTGATCATATAAGAGCCTGGAGTTAAAAATTCTTTAATATTAATATAAATAATTTATTTTTAAATATCATAAGAAAATTTAGTTTTGATACACAAACTAATTTTAAAAAACTCTTGAACTTTAAACCAAAGGAATACAAATAAAAATGATTGTGATATGCTTCACTGATCTTTAAAAAAAAAATAAAAAAGAGAGAAAATGCTAATTAATAATAAATGAAAAAGTGTAGGGTAAAACGGTAATGGAAAAAAAACCCACGAGAGTAGTTAAAAATCTTGTTTGATATTGAGTTAAAAAAAAATGATTTTTTTTTTTAGTTTTGAATTATTTTAGATGTTTTTGAATTGTTTTAATTTGTTATTATAAGAATATTATTTTATTATAAAACATTCTTTACTGTATTCCTAATCATGCCATTACATTCGTTTGGTACGAAAGCAAAATAAAAAATCAAGTAAAATACTTCAATTTGTGTATTTGTTTTTTAAAGAGAAGCTTTCTTTGTTTCCTTTCTTTATTTTTATTTTATTTGTGCAGCAGAGAAAAAGCTGCTTCTTGTCCACAAGCCTGCCTGCCTCCGCCTCATCCTCCCATTTCAATATTCTATTTTGCTACTAAATTTCTCTCACTTTCTCGCATCTCTCTACACCTACAGTAGCTGTTTCTGCTATTGAGCTGTTAAGTTTTTGGCCTTTTCTTTATATATAGAAAAAGAGAGCTTCATTTTTCACTGTTTTACTTCACTTTTTTTTTTTCTTGTTCTTGAGATCGATCTGCCAGCTTTGACTTACTTTGCTTTACTGAAAAGGGTTTTTGTTTCCTCACGAGACCCAGTTTAGACCATTTCAAGGTATGCGAAGAGATGCTTCTTTCTGTTTTTTATTTTCAAATTGTTAAGTTTGGAGTTGAGATTTCTGGTTCTTACTGTGAATGTTAATGGGTTGAAAATGTGAGTTTGGATGTTAGATCGGTTTGATTCAGCAAATTTTATTTGCTTTTAAGTGGGAAGAAAATGAGGGAAATTGGAGAAAAGTTCGGTTCTTTGATTTACTTATTAAGTTTTTTTTGGTCTCTAATGGAGAAAAATTGAAACTTCAAACTTCAATGTTCAAGTTTTGATTTTTTTCATTATTTTTTTAATTACAAATTTTGGTACCTTGCTTAGAAGCATATACAAGTCAAGTCTTCCAAGCATTGTTGTCTTTTTTAACCTTGTAAGTGAAATTTGTGGTCAAGGAAGGTATAAAAGTTACCTTGCTTAATGTTTGCAGAAACTAGAGCGGTTTTCTAGTAATTCAAGTTTGAAGAACGGAGAGGAGTTTGAAGAATTGAACCTCTTTTTTTTTTTCATTTAGGATCCGTGAGAAGTATCTGCTAGTGAAGGGTTGTGTTGATTTTTCTTTTTTGGGTTACTTGAAGGACTTGGATAGATTTTTTAAGGTGTTGAGCTTTTGAATGGTGGTGGCTAAGTATCGAGGGAGCACTAGGGCTGGTTTCTAAAACTATGGTCCCCTCCATCAAGCAGTATCCAAATAAGTTTTATAGTGTGGCCTTGTGATAAGACGTTTTTTTAGGGTGAAAAAGCTAAAAAGTTAGCCTTTTAATTGATCCTTTATCTTATGGCATCTGTTGGATTTCAATCGTCAGGATCAGAGAAAATGTTACCGAAATCCCAGGTCTTGCCTTCTCTAGAGTCGATCAAATCTTTGCCGGTTGATTTTAGGTTCATGGGTTCGCCAACATCTGAACGATTGGAAAAATCTGTGGATGTGAATTCATTAAATAGCAATGAAGTCTGTTTGAGTTTTCCAGAAAAAAATGATATAGGGAATGGCCTTGTTGAGGGAGCGGAGGATAGTGTTGGCACTGATGTCAGTGAGGATTCACCTTATAGTCGGATTGCCATCTTGATTGAACAAAGGCCTTCTGTGGGTGATGAAGATTTGGACACTGTGGTTATGCCTTTGCCTTCGATATCAACATCTCGCAGGGAACGCAGGTGGTCTGATACCAGCTCCTATGCTACAAACAAGGTACCCTTGTATGAATGGGATTAGTTTTTGGTCTGATTATGTCTAAATTCTTGCAGTTTTGGATGCATATTTATCTAGAGGCTGTGGAGGTTGATACTGAATTATGATGAAGCTATTCGGATTTAAGCTGATTGATTAGCATTCAATTCATTGATCTTGTTACCTATGTTAAAGTTTACCATTTCAGAAACTTCAATCTTGGTTTCAACTTCCTAATGGGAATTGGGAGCTGGGGAAGATTTTATCAACTTCAGGGACCGAGTCTACTATTTCTCTCCCTGATGGAAAAGTAAGTGGAATTTTCAGAAATATTTTTAAGATGTTCTTGTGGTATAAATAGTTAGGGATGTTTTAATTTGACTTGCGTTTCAAATCATAGGTTTTAAAGGTGAAAACTGAAAGTCTTGTGCCAGCAAATCCTGATATCCTTGATGGTGTAGATGATCTCATGCAACTTAGTTACCTAAATGAGCCATCAGTGTTGTACAATCTTCAGTATAGATATAATCGTGATATGATTTATGTAAGTGTTTTTGTTAGTATTTTATTTGGTTTTGAATCAGTTAGTGAAACACTGATTTCCCTTAATTCTTTCGAGTGCAATTTAGACAAAAGCAGGGCCAGTTCTGGTAGCCATCAATCCTTTTAAGGAAGTTCCTTTATATGGAAATAATTACATTGAAGCATATAAGAATAAATCCATGGAGAGCCCACATGTGTATGCCATTACAGACACGGCCATCCGGGAAATGATTCGAGGTGGTTTAATTTTTCATATATTCTGAAAGATTGAGTTTCTGGTGGTTTGCGAGTTTCTGAAATTTGTCATATTTTGTAGAGTTCTTATTCTATTTTTTCCTCTCTCTCCAGATGAAGTAAATCAATCTATCATTATAAGGTTAGTAAAGTGTGAGTAATTAAGTTTTTTGTTTTTTTGAAGGTGCTTCTTCAATTAATAGCTTACCAATTAATTGTTCCTCATGCTGTTTGCTTTTAGGCAGTTTGAGTAGGAACTCATAATGTGGCATTTTGTAGATAGTTTATATGACAATTTGAAACCATGCGTGTTTCACACCTATGTCAATGTTCATGTTGAAGGTTTAGTGGATGTTCATCTGTAAATAACATCTAGAGAGATACCATCTCGTTATCCTTGTGGTGACCAGAGTTTTGCTTTTGTTATTGTATGATATAGTGTTCGCTGTTAACATACAAGACTAAATAATTTGCAGTATATAACAAAGGCCATGAAAAAAGGGTGAAGCTACTGGAGAACATAATGAACTTTAACTATGATAACTTCTTTGCATCCCAGCGTGTTAGAAATAGCCCATCCACTGAAAAAATGGGTTATAGATTCTGCTAACCTAGCCTCATTGTCTGCTTATGGACTTATTGCTTCTCTTGTCTTCTTTGGGTATGCAAAGTCCTTGTGATTATTATATTTGAGTGACTCACGCTATCAGATGGCGTATAATCAAGGAAGAAACTCTATCTTTCCTTGGAACTCTGCTTAGTTGCGTACTTCTCACTTTCATTTGTCTTGTGTGTTTAGGATTTTGATGATCTAGAAGTTTTTGGATGGTTTTGGATTTATACTAGCATGTACCTCCTTTTTGTGTTCTTTTAACCAGTTTATCAATTTCTGAAAATGATACAGTACACATGATGCATATCATCCAATAAATGGCACATAACGTGACATACCAAAGAAGCACAAGTTTGTAGTATTTTTAGCACAAGTTTATAGTGTTTTTAATAATGTTCCTTGTACACATCTGAGTTCGATTCCATTTGTTTGTTGCCTCAGTGGTGAAAGTGGAGCAGGAAAAACAGAGACAGCAAAGATAGCAATGCAATATTTGGCTGCTCTTGGTGGTGGCAGTGGGATAGAATATGAAATATTGAAAACCAATCCTATTCTGGAAGCCTTTGGCAATGCGAAGACATTGAGGAATGACAACTCAAGTCGCTTTGTAAGCTCCATGTTCTTTGTTTGAACATCACAGTGTTCTTTACTCTTTAGGTTAACCTACTGGTATTGAGGCATGACAGTTATTATTGTCATCCAGAATTTAATTTTAATTATCAATGCTTGTTCTGAACATGTTGCAGGGAAAGCTGATTGAAATCCACTTTAGTGAAACAGGAAAAATATCAGGTGCCAAAATTCAAACATGTAAGATTGCTCAGATTACTGATGCACTTAAATGATGTTGGATATATTTTCGTGTTCACTTTTTTGAAATTTCCATTACTGACTGAGTTGTGAATCTATGTTCGTTCTTGTTTGGTGCACAGTTTTACTAGAAAAGGTAATTTTCTATTCCTCTTTCATATTGCCTGCTTCATTTTTTTTGAGTTGCCAATTTAATCTATTAAATAAACAGTCCAGAGTTGTCCAATGCATGGAGGGTGAGAGGTCATATCATATATTTTATCAGCTTTGTGCTGGGGCTTCACCAAAACTAAGAGGTATGTACTGCCATATATTTTCTCAATGTGTTCAAATTTTGATGCATCATTTAAGAGCTCACCGAGTTCCTTTCTTTAAAAAAAGCATCCAAATATACTGATTCCTATATAATAATAACAAATGATCCTGCCCCCTTTCTGCTGTTTCTTTCATGAGCACAGAGAAAATAAACTTGAAGATTGCTAGTGAATATAAATATTTAAGGCAGAGCAATTGCTTCACAATTACTGGGGTTGATGATGCTGAACACTTCCATGCTGTTACGGTTTGTTTTTGGCTTCCCATTTTCTTGCATAGTTGCTTTCAATCTTCAATTTTTTTTTTTTCACTTTTATGTTGAGACCAGAGGTTTTGCATGCCAACTTGCTTATAGCTGCTACAACTTTTCAGGAAGCTCTGGATATTGTTCATGTCAGCAAGGAAAACCAAGAGAGTGTATTTGCAATGCTTGCTGCAGTGCTGTGGCTTGGAAATGTCACATTTTCCGTTGTTGATAATGAAAATCATGTTGAACCTATGGAAGATGAAGGTAAGATGCTTTCAAAAATTGGATGATTAACATATTTAAATTCATCATATCCATTGTTTCTCACTATTATTATCCTAATCCCACTGATTGCCATGCTCATTGGCTTCATTGAACTGTCTGCGGGGAGATTCATACAAGATTTTAGGAGAAAGGGGAAAACCTAAGATTATGATTATCCTCTTGCCTAGATCAAGATGCTAGGAAAGATGGAACTGTCAAAAAAAAAAAAAAACCCTTATAGGAAAAAGTAATAATTTTCTTGACTTTTTCTCTTGAAAAAGTAATAATGTTCAGAAGTAAATCTAGAGAAGAGTTGCTTTGATTGATTGGCCACCCTGCATTGACATGGACCATTGAATATGAATGACAGCTGAACTTATGTTGCTAGTCACGGATGGTTTGACAAATATAGTCATGAAGGATTAGATTTTAGCACAGTAATTAAAACAGGCTGGCAATGCTAATTAAAATGCTGACCTCCCAAGTAATGAAACATGCAATAATTGCAATAATGCTATTTCTGTTTGCTTCATTTTTCTGTTTTAGTTATTTTGTGAGGATGAAATACAACTTCAGTTGTGTTCTATTATATGCTGTATTCGTTCCAACAGCATCATATATTTGATCTTATTGATACTTCTTAGAGTGATTGTGCTTGTTTCTAGAGGCAAATCAAACTCCGTTTTCTTCGTTTTCCTTGGAAATTATTTGGAATGGTGTCATCAGCATGTGGTCAAATTGTTGCACTGAGGCTTGCTTTTACAATGTTCAGGTCTAACCACTGTTGCAAAATTGATTGGTTGTAATGTTGGGGAGCTTAAGCTGGCTTTATCTACTCGCAAGATGAGGGTTGGAAATGATACAATTGTCCAAAAGCTAACCTTATCACAGGTGAGAAAATGTCAAAAATCAGCCTTTTCTATAGTTAGATATTCAAGGGGAGATTCACTGTTGTGTTTGACTTACACTTGCATATATAGCAAGGCAACAAGTATATGCTTGCCTCTCATAAGCGATGGATCTAAACAAGCACCAACATCCTTTTCAAACTTTCACCTTTAAAACTGTAATATTGGACCACCCTGCAGTCTGTCTGGAGGTGGTATCTATTTGAAAGTTAATTGAATTTTAAAAACGTATAGATGTGTATGAATGCAAAGGGCTTTACTTGAGCTCCTATTAATAGTAATTTTCCATGGAGTGCATAAAGACATTCAGATATGAACAATTTTTTCTTCGACTTTTCAGGCAATTGATACAAGAGATGCTCTGGCGAAGTCGATATATTCTTGCTTGTTTGATTGGCTTGTTGAACAAGTCAACAAATCACTTGCAGTTGGTAAAAGGAGAACTGGCAGATCCATCAGCATTCTTGACATTTATGGATTTGAATCGTTTGAAGTGAGTTTAGTCATCATCCTGCTGTGATATTCTCTCTTTTTGTGAGTTGAATTTTGATATATTGCATTCTATGCTATTGACTGTATCTGTAGAGAAATAGTTTTGAGCAATTCTGCATAAATTATGCGAATGAGAGATTACAGCAACACTTCAATCGTCATTTATTCAAGTTGGAGCAGGAGGTAAGTATCTTAAAACATCTTACAAGACTCCTGGTTTCATAGTTGAACTCAAGGCAATAATGGGTGAGGGATGTCTTAAAATTTCACTCATGGATCCTCAATATCCAAAAGTGAGTTCTGGAATTCTCCTATTTGTTAAAAAATAAAACTTCTGTCTCCTTGGGGGAAAAAAGGTAAGAATTCTGTTATATCATTATGATGGATTAGCAGTGGTTTCAACATCTATATATGACACAGTACTAGGTTTTTGAGCTTCTGTAGCCTAAGAAATTAGGATGTATTACAACATTTGCTGTGCATGTGTTTAGAAGGTGTTCTTGTCTTCCAGGAATACATACAAGATGGCATTGACTGGGCTAAGGTTGAGTTTGAAGATAACCAAGACTGTCTCAATCTTTTTGAAAAGGTACAGTGTAACTCGCTAGAATGTTTCATTTGTGCTTTTTATTTGTTTCTTTGAATTGTCGTGTTGGAAATAGAAACATGTACCTCTATTGTAATATTACTGTTTCGAGCCTGTTGAATATACCTTGATATGATAATTAAATTGATGTTTCTGTTCCTCACCGCATAATTTTTTGTGGACTATATTCAAACCTGATGGTTATTTCTATGGTTAACCAATGCATTTTTGCATATCTTGAGAAGGATAGGGATTCCATCAATGTTGAATGCAAGTTTCATACCCTGTCTTCTTACAAGTCAACTGAGGTCTTGAGGTGCAAATGGGATAGTTTCTTGACGGGGTCAGCAAAAGAAATACGAAACATGTTATTTTTAGAGTTCTAAGAAACTCTCAAGAAAAGCTATATAAGCTGACTCCCTTCTTATCAAGAGTGTATTTCTCTTATATAAATATATATATTTTTTTCCTAGTTTGTGTAATAGAGGTATAGAAAACGTGATACAATGAGAAGTTCTTCTTTTTGTTTGACAAATTAAAATTAATAAATGTGGATGATCGTGCACTGTAAAAATGGTTACTTAAATTTGTTTTCTGCATTTAGTTCTAATGCTCAAGTTTCATAGTTTAGACAACTTTACTTTTTATCTTTTATGCAGCAACTTCTTGACTTCTCTCAAATTTCTTCTGTTTTTGAAATTTGAATTTATACAACTTGAACCTTTTATCTTTCATGCAGAAACCTTTGGGGTTACTATCGTTACTGGATGAGGAGTCCACCTTTCCAAATGGCACAGATTTGACATTTGCCAACAAGCTTAAACAGCATTTGAACTCTAATTCTTGTTTCAGAGGAGAGCGAGGCAAGGCCTTCAGTGTTAGCCATTATGCTGGCGAGGTATTGGCCTTTCAGTCAAGAAATAATCCATTGTGCTTTCCTTTTGCTGTGACTCAAGTGCTTATCCTGGTCAAAATTGACCAACAAATTTGATATGGCACTGTTTGAAAGAATGCCATTGTTCAGATCCCTTTTACTGTCAGTGTTACCCGGCCAGCTGTGGACGACTGTGCTTCTGATTCTTTTAGTTTCCCTTAAGATTAAAGTGATTTAACAATGTAGGTGCCATGACCCTTTGGTTATGAAAAGGCTACCTCATTTAATGCTGTCACTGTGTTGAATTTCAGGTTACTTATGATACAACTGGATTTCTGGAGAAGAATAGAGACTTATTACACATGGACTCTATCCAGCTTCTCTCTTCATGTTCATGCCATCTCCCTCAGATATTTGCTTCCAATATGCTTATACAAACTGAGAAACCTATTGTTGGTCATTTATATAAAGCAGGTGGAGCAGATTCACAAAAGCTAAGTGTTGCAACAAAATTTAAGGTATATTATGATTCTGTTATCTGTACCCTAACCTAAAACTGGGATGCCCTAAGGTTTACGTTGGCCATGAATTATTTTTCTTTTATTTTCATTGCCTAACAATACAAGGTTTTGTTCACTATCAAAAAAAGGGTTTTGTAAGCCATTATTTATCAGATATTGATTTGTGATGATCAAGAATATGAACTGTTCAATCCTGATAGTTAGGAAACTTGTTTCTTTTTAATTTGGATCAGTTGAGAAAGAGTTTGTTCTTAATCAACACTTGTATTATCGATGGTAGTGCTTTGAAAAGTTTCCTCGTAAGTCAGATGTATGTTGCTGTTAATGGTAAAAAAAGGGATTATCGTTATTCTCTTGCATGTTTCCCCTTACATCTGAATGGTTAGGCTTTTATATTTGATATGTTTAAGCACAGATGAGTGAATGCTAGGCAACAATCTAGCTTCTGCTTGTCCCAATAATTCTATTAACCTAGCATTTTGGTGTATAGGGCCAACTGTTCCAATTGATGCAACGTCTAGAGAACACAACACCACACTTCATACGATGTATAAAGCCTAACAACACTCCTTCTCCTGGGTCATATGAGCAAGGACTTGTATTGCAGCAACTGAGATGTTGCGGAGTTCTAGAAGTAGTTCGTATATCAAGGTGTGGATTTCCTACCAGAATGTTACACCAGAAGTTTGCCAGAAGGTAAGGAAAATTACTCTTTCAACTCATGTGACAACTTCCAGAATTGTCTGATTCCATAGTGTTCAGTATCTTATTTGGCTTTTGGGTTGCTTATTGCCTGACATGATTTTTGCATCAGATATGGTTTTCTTCTGCTGGAAAATGTTGCTTCTCAAGATCCACTCAGCGTTTCAGTTGCAATTCTTCATCAGTTCAATATCATGCCAGAGATGTATCAAGTTGGCTACACAAAATTATTTTTCCGTACAGGACAGGTGAAATGGAGAATCTGCTCATGCACACAAAACACGTGGAAACCTACATGCATGTGAACAAACATACATACAAATGACTATTAGATGTTTATCATACATGGCTTCTTTAGATGGTTTTGAGAACCTTTTTTTCCTGGGATAAATACCATGGATTATTATCTTTCAAACATGATTGTTAAACCTTTATGTTCATCTCGTACATTTTATGCAGATTGGTGTGCTTGAGGATACAAGAAACCGCACTCTACATGGTATTTTACGTGTTCAAAGCTGTTTCAGAGGGCACCAAGCTCGCAGTTACCTCAGGGAGCTCAGAAGAGGAGTTTGTGCTCTTCAGTCATGTATTACCCTCTCTTTTCTAGTTTGAACCTTTGTCTTTGTTTACTTTAAACCATTGTCATACTAGTAAAAAGAAACATAAATTATATGTAAGAATGCTTGTGATGACGACTTATTTATTCCTTCATACAGTTGTTCGTGGAGAGAAATTCAGAAAGGAATATGCAGTCTTACAACAAAGACATAGAGCTGCTGTTGTTATACAAAGACACATCAAAAGCACAATCTGTAGGAAAAAATACGAAAACATGCATCAAGCATCAATCTTGATACAATCAGGTATTCATAAGTTCTGTCCTGGACTTGTGAGTTTATTGCGGTAAAGTAGGATATCTTTGCTCATCTGAATGATTGAGATCAGAGTTTGCAAGGAACAATCACTGGGTTGTGTTCCTGGAGGTTGTGGTCTAGTTGGTTCCTGTCAACACTTGAGATTGTTTACATTTTCTGTTTGGAAATGTTTAAACCAAGCTGCTTTGCTTTTATTAATAAGATGGTCTGTCTGTTATTCATGAAATTGTCTGTGCTATGCTGCAGTTATTCGTGGATGGTTGGTGAGAAGATTTTCGGGTGATGTAGGATTATTGAAATCTGGGGCATCTAAGGTACGTATTCCATCTTCTTTTTCCTGTACACCCATTATAACTATCACTCGTTTGCTAATTTGATCTTGATCTTGCTTCCAATTTTGTTGTCATTAGTTCCCTATTTGATAGAATCCTGATTTGTTTTTGTATTTTTTTGTTGTCTATTTATATTGAACATGCCATATCTATCTGTATGTATCTCAACTGCAACCTTTTACTATTGAAAAAGAAACATCAGGGATATCACAACAGAGCAATGCACTGGTTTCAAATGAGATTGGGATTGATAATTTCTCGTCTCATGTATGTGCACCTATTGTTGTATCTATCCATGCATGTGATTTATGAGTATACTATATTAAATTGATGTAGATATATATCCCAGTCTTTCTGGTTGCTTGTCCTAAGGACTCTGCTTTATCCCCCACCAAGAGCTTAATTTTATGAATTCCTGGTAAAATCTACATGTATATAATGGTGAGGATCCAGTTCCAAGGATGGATCATATGCAGCCTGTCACTATCATATGGACTTAATTTTATAGGACACTACTGTGTTGCCCTCCCCCATTGTGAAACCCAACTTGTGATCTTTATTGGCTGACTGAGTATTTAATAGTGTAAATATCTTTGGTGATTATTCGTTAGGGTAATGCTTTGGTCCTTCTTTCCTAAGAAGACACTGTTCATATTGGAATCTCTTGTATTCTTGCAGTTGAGATATTTAACAATAAGAAGTTCTCAACAGGGCAATGAGTCAGATGAGGTGCTCATGAAGGCATCTTATCTTGCTGAATTACAGCGACGAGTTCTCAAAGCTGAGGCTGCTCTTAGAGAGAAAGAGGAGGAGAATGACATCCTTCACCAACGGCTCCAACAATATGAGAGCCGCTGGTCTGAATATGAGTTAAAAATGAAGTCCATGGAAGAAGTGTGGCAGAAACAGATGAGATCCCTACAATCCAGTCTCTCCATTGCAAAGAAGAGCCTATCTGTTGATGATTCTGGGAGAAATTCTGATGCATCAGTCAACGCAAGTGACGAGAGAGACGTTAGCTGGGATACCGGAAGTAACCATAGGGGTCAAGAAAATAATGGTGTGAGACCAATTAGTGCGGGCTTTAGTGTTATAAGCCGGTTAGCTGAAGAATTTGAGCAGAGGAGTCAAGTATTTGGAGATGATGCCAAGTTCTTGGTAGAGGTAAAATCTGGTCAGGTTGATGCAAGTATGAATGCTGACCGAGAGCTCAGACGGTTAAAGCAGATGTTTGAAGCTTGGAAGAAGGATTATGGATCGAGACTACGGGAAACAAAGTTGATTTTGAACAAGCTCGGAACTGATGAAGGTGCCCTTGATAGGGTGAAAAAGAAGTGGTGGGGCAGGAGGAACAGCACGAGGTATAGTTAGATTACTTTCTATAGTGATTTATAGTTTTTGCTTTGTTTGGTGGTTAGCTCCAGGCTATTTAACATCCAAAAATTCTATAGCAGAGAAATTGTGATGAGTTTTGTTATACGAGCGATGTGGTGATGGCAGAGCGTAGTAGTTTTCATTGAAGCTTAAATTAAAATGTACATCATTCTTTTTCGATTATTACACAAGTTGAAGAAGTAGATTTTCTTCCTTTGGCAGTGTCTGTTTCCTGTTTAATCTTTTTTAATTAATCAGGAAATTCAGTCTCTTTATTGCAATTGTTGACCCGTATTGTTGACAAGGAAACTTCCATAGATGTATCCCCCCACCTTTAAGAATTCTTGAAACCCTAGCTAGATCCCTCCCTCACGTTAAAGTGGAGCAATAACTCTTCTTCAAACTCTTGTTTGATTTGACCTGCGAACTTTTAAGCTGTAATTAGTCCAGATAATTTCAGTCTTTGCAGCATCGATTCTTCAACTTCGAAGTGGTTCCTTTACAAGGTCCTGCAGTACATAGCCACCTATTCTTCCAGGCTTTGTGATTGCTGATTAGAGCTCCTGTAATGGTGCTTCCCAAATATACCGTTTCTCGCCCAGGACACAAGCAAAGTCTTCTCTATAGATCACTCCCTATACCTTTCAAGCCTACCCAAAATAGAACCGATGTCCTTGTTTCAGAAAAAAAAATGTTGCTTATATTGGTTCTAACGAGCACTCCCTCCTGCCACTAATCATTCGGGTTATAATGACTGGAATTCCAAATCTCACCGGCCCACCCTCGAAGCTTTCTTTTATTCTACTCCATGCTCGAGTAACCTGCCATGCTATGTTATGATTCTTAATTATGAAGAAGTAGAAGCTGCGACTTTTTGCAAGCTGTAATGGACGGTTCTGCCTCATGGACTCTGATGGAAATTTGTGTCTTTCTGATGATTTAAACTCAACCTCTCCAAAGATATCTCAAATCATCTACCTCCACTGCTGGGATTATTATTATGGTGATGATGATGAACGAAAGTGCAACTGGGCAGAAGTGACAGAGCAACTTATTGCAGTGCAGTGAAAGAGCAAATATCAGCCAATTACTACATCGTCTCGGAAGGTGCAGGAGTAGAAGGAAATCACATAAACTATTACCGAGCAAAATCCATTAATCATATAGAGCATGAGATAGATGCAGTACCTCCATTTCAAAGACAATAGCTTCGATGGAAAATGTGGTTTGCCCCCTCACCAGCTTTGTGAGTTTCTTCTCTTGTCAATTGCTTAAGCGCATATATATATATATAGGTGAGAGAGGTATGTTTTAGCTATTCCACTCTACATAGCAGCCCCCTCCTAGATTGAAGCTGGGAAATACAGGAGATATATACAACTGGTGTTTTTATTTCATTGTAATTCTAAGTGTTTTTATTTCATTGCAATTCTAATGACTCATGCTAACATTTCCTCTCAAGTTGGTGCATAGATATCTTTAATACTCAACTTGTCAAGGCAATCATGAAAAAATCTACTAGAAACTACCTGTGCCAGAGTATACTAGTTAGTCTTTTAATTTGACAAAAAAAAAAAAAGAAAGAAAGAAAGAAAGAAGGAAAGTAATCTTCTCTTCAAGATTTTGCTTAACAAAATGTTGGTTTATCTCCATCTGTTTTATTCGATCATGCTGAATAGAATTTTGTGAGATAACAATTGCTACCTTATTGTCACAAAACAAGTTCATCTCCATATTAGAACCGTAATCTATTTCCATTAGTAACCCTTTAAGCCATAGTAGTTCACAAAGTCCTTTTACAATCCCTTTAAACTCAGCTTCAGCACTTGACCAGGCCACCACTTTTTACTTTTTGCTCCTCCACGTAACAAAGCTTTCTCCCGCGAATGTAAAGTACCCGTACATGGATTTTTTTATCTAGAATACTCCTTGTCTAATCTGCATCTGTGTATCCCTTAATATCAAAGTGGTCATTTTTAGAGAACATTAGACCCTTTCCTGGTATGGATTTCAAACATCGAAGTATTCAAATCACTGTGTTCATATGTTTTTCACTTGGATTATGCATAAATTGGCTTACAACACTTATGACATAAGCAAAATCAGGGCAAGTGTGTGACAAGTAAATAACTTTTCCCATCAGCCTTTGGTATCGTCTTTTATCTGTTGGTGCTTGGTCTGTGTGTTCTGTGAGTTTGTGATTTTGAACTATGGGAGTATCTGCTGGTTTGCACTCTAATAATCCTACCCCCAAAAGTAGATCCACATACTTTCTTTGGGACAAGAATATACCCTTTCGTGATCTTGGCACCTCTATTCCTAAGAAGTATTTAAGTCCACCCAGATTCTTCATCTCAAACTCGGCTGATAATTGCTCTTGTAATTTTGAAATTTCTTCAGTGTCATCCCTAGTGATAATCATATCATCTACATAGTCGATTAGAGTTGTCACCTTCTTTTTTCGATGCTCCAAGAAGAAAGTGTGGTCCGCATTGCTTTGAACAAAGCCATAACTTCTCACAACTGAGCTAAAACTCTTAAACCATGCTCGAGGAGATTGTTACAATCCATATAGAGCTCACTCTAACTTGCATACAACTCTAGTTCCTAAAGATGATATAAAGCTTGGTGGGATATCCATATAAACCTTTTCTTCAAAGTCACCATGGAGGAAGACATTCTTTACATTAAGCTGAAGTAGCAGCCAATCTAGATTTGCTGCAAGAGATAATAAAACTCTAATAGTATTTAATTTAGCAATTGGGAAGAATGTCTCTATATAATCTATATCGTATGTCTCTGTCAATCCTTTCGCCACCAGCCTTGTTTTGTATAAGCCAATTGATTCATCCGTTTTGTATTTATTTGAGAATACCCATTTGTATCCCACTGTTTTCTTCCCTTCAGGCTGTGGTATCAACTTCCGTATATTATTTTTCTATAAGGCTTCTATCTCTTTTTATATAGCTTGTTCCTATTCAGAGTCGGCTAGAGTGTCCTCTATATTATTTGGAGTATGACAAGAAGATAATGTCTTGGTGAAGTTCTAAATTGGATCATATAAATGTTGGGTGCTCACATAATTAGTGATAGGGAATTTGGATCGTCTTTCTTCTGTTTCAGGGGAGTACCTATTAGGTGGCTTTCCTTTGTTGTGTCTGAAAGGTAACACATACTCTACAAGAGTATTTAAGTTAGCAGTATATGGAGGGACAATGAGAGATCTTACCTCAATACTATTTTAAGTAGGAGATTCAGGTACTACAGAGATAGGGGTTGGTTGGGTTTCTTGATTCAAAAACTCTCCCTTAAGCTAATATTCATGTGTTCCTCTAACATCATTTTCAGGCTCCTCCAGTTGTCTGCTATTAGCATGTGCTGTACTGTTAACAATGGCATGTGCTGGACGGTCATCAACGGGGTCTGTTGGATTACTAACAGTGGTAGCTGTAGGGTCTGCAGGGTCTACTGAATTATTGGAAGTGCTAACGGTGGTTGGAGCTGTCATGTACCAATTCAGATCTTCACTTTTAGGCTCCCGTTGAAGAATTGAGTTGGAGATTATAGGAGAATAGAAGTGTTCAGACTCAATAAAAGTAGTGTCCATGGTAATGTAGAATATTTTGTTAATATGATCAAAGTATTTATAGCCCTTCTTATTTAGTCCATAACCCAGAAACAAACATTTAACAACTCACGGATCAAGTTTGGAGCATTGGTTCTTATAAAGATGAACAAAAACCACACATCCAAACACACGAGGTAGGAGTAACAACATGGTAGGTGGTGCAACATGAAAGGAAAACACTTGCAGGGAAGTTTTGAAATGCAGGACTTTACAGGGCATTCTATTAAGTATTTAGCTGTATTCACCGCATCATTCCAGTGATGTGTTAGAACATTTATGCCGTGAAGAAGAGAACGAGCTATTTCCAGGAAGTGGTGATTTTTCTGTTCACCTACACTATTTTGTTATGGAGTCGAAGCACAAGAAGTTTCATAAAGGAGACCTTGTTGCTGGAAGAATCCTTTAAACTGATGGTTGATGAATCCCTTCCATTGTCTGACTGAAAGAACTCATATTTTGGCTAAAAATTAATTCTGAATTATGGTGTGAAATGCTTGGAATATTAGGAAAACCTGCTCCGTTGTCTTCATTAGGTAAAGCCATGTCATTTGGGTGAAGTCTGATTAGTACTTAAAAATGTATTTTTATCAAGGTTTTATATCATCATTTTGCACTTAAAGTATCAATAACTCCTTAACTAAAACATGTTTTATAATGTACGTTTGATACCATAAGATACCTTTAATTTATGATAAAT